GTGTGGTTACTTAGGTGTGATTACTTCTGCTTGCTCTTTTGTTCCTGCTGTGATTAGAAGCTGATTGGCTACCATGTACAGCTGCACCAGTTTCTGAGAGTGCCAGTTTTATGCAGGCCATAGACGGGTCGAAAAATCGGCTGATTTTTTTGGCCGAAAAAAAAATCTGACTATTTTTGCAACGTTAGTGGGTTAGTGCAACGTTGGTCAGCCATTTTTCAGGGTTTTGGCACATTTTTTTTATCGGTAAAGTTGCAAAAAAAATCGGCCGATTTTGCCGATCGGCTGATTTTAACGACAATGATGTACATATTGGCCGATCGTTTTACCGATAAAAAATCTGCGCATGAGCCGTGACCTGCAAGAAGAAGAAAAAGAAGAAAATGAATAAGAATTCCAGTCCGCTATTATTATATTTGACATGGAAAAGTATTGCGGTTGCAACAATGTATCTATTTGTATGCGAATAAAACCATCTGTATCCGAAATGGATACAAATGGATACAAATTGTTGCAACCGCAATACTTTTTCATGTCAAATATAATAGCGGAGCTCTCTGCAGGGACAGAAGTAATTAAATGCCGGCCATAGATGGGACGAAAATCGGCCAATTTTTTTTTACCGTTGGTGGTAACGTTGGCCTATTGAACGACCAATTTTTATTTTTTTTTTTTAAAAAACGGACGGTTTGCCTGCATTAGTAAATCCCTTCCATACTGGTAGCTGCCCAGCTGTCCCTGATTACGGGAGACAGGAGGAACAGACACTAACTATAGCACCCAACAGTCCCGATTATGGGGGCAGGGAGAATAGACACATACTGTAGTGCCCAGCTGTCCCTGATTCTTGGAGACAGGAGGAACAGACACTAACCATAGCACCCAACAGTCCCTGATTATGGGGGACAGGGAGAATATACACATACTGTAGCACCCCACAGTCCCCGATTACCGAGGATGGGCAAAAAGACACATACTATAGCCCTCAACTGTCCCTTATTATGGGAGACAAGGGGAACAGACACATACAAAAGCTCCCAACTGTCCCTGATTTTGGTGGACAGGGGGAATAGATGCATACTGTAGCTCCCAACTGTCCCTGATTAGGGGGGTCAGGGGGAAAAGACGCATATTGTAACTCTCAGCTGTCACTGATTATGAAGACAGGGGGGCCAGACACATTATGCAGCACTCAACTGCCCCTGATTAAGTGTAAGCAGGTTAAAATAGATAGCTGCTGCCCAGGGGTGGACTGACAACTCATAGGGCCCCCGGGCAATAGGTGATCATGGGGCCCCTGTGTACTTGTCCAAACTCAAAAAACCCTATGAAAAAGGTACCAGGGGCATCTCATGGGGCCCCCTACTGACCCCAGGCCCTTGGGCAGTGCCTGAGTTTCCAAATGGTCAGTCCGCCCCTGCTGCTGCCCCATCCAAGAGGAAAACAGTTAACCTGATTTTCCACACTTTCCGCTGGCCTGTACCTATCTCCATGTGCTTTTAAAAAAAAGGGAGAGGGCTCTGCCTAGACTCAGTCCAGCAGCATGGGGAGAAAGAGAGGCTGATAGCTGAAGATGTAATCCATCTAGCCAGCAACAACCCGCCCAGAGGGAAAGTAGCCTGTACAGGAAGCTGCTGCAAGCCTGCTACCCACGTGGTCCCACAAGACACACAGTCTGCACGGGCAGGAATAACATAGAAAAGCCACATCATGTAATTTCCAGCTGTTATAGAGAAGAGAGAAGGTGGAGTAGTTCCACCTTGGACAGCAAGCCTTCCTGCTGTCACATCCACCATGTAGGGTGGTTGCTTTTCTGGAGATCTCCCACCATGGCCATGTTTGGACTCTCATCCTGTGCAGGTACACTGGGGCAGCCACAAGCCGAGTTAGGGATTAGGGATGATAGAAGACTGTCACTGTTGTTATCTGGAATGACCAAGTTTTTCAGTAAAGCTTTTGAAACCTTGTCCTTGCCTGGTCCAAAGTTACTAAAGGTGTGTATGCAAGTAGCCAGCACATTCTGAACTTAGTATACAACGAGGGTCGAGTTAAAGCCCACGGGCATATGAAGACAGCAGGTGGTTACAAAGAGTAGTGGAGGTTTAGCAAGCAGCCTGTCATGAAGTGTGTACCTGTAAATGGTGGGATATCCTCTAGTAATGAGGGAGTTGTCAGCACTGTCTCTGAGCAGTCCATCTCCCATAACAACAGGAGCAGATCAGTACTACATGGTCCCCTTCCTGTGCTCAGGTACAGAAGAGAAAGAGTTAATGCATGTATGGAGTCTGCGCTAGGTGCTCAGAAGGATTCCATTCTATTACTGAGAGTGAGGTAGCAGAGATAAGCTGGACAGGTGGAACAAGCATTGGCTCAGCTTGTCTCTCCTAAATGCAACAAGTGACAGTAGCAGTGTACATTGACACGGGGCTAAAGAGACTTACCTGGAGGACAGTTCAATGTTCAAGTGTACACGGTGTACAGCGCACGTAAGGTACTCCATGTGCAAGGCAAGTGACTCTGTTCAAGGTGCCGAGAGTAAACCAGAAGAACCCACCCCAGAGTAGGCCTCTCACGTATCCCACACTTGGCACACAACGAGGAAAGGAACGTGGAGAGATTGTCACCTGCCTACCCTTACATACAGAGGACAGGGGGAGCAGACACATACTGTAGCTCTCAACTGTCCCTGATTATGAGGACAGGGGGAACAGAAACATACTGTAGTTCCCAACTGTCTCTGATTATGGGGAACAAAGGGGAACAGAAAAATACTGTAGCTCCCAACTGTTTCTGATTATGGGGATGGGGGACCAGACACATACTATAGCTCCTAATTCTCTCTAATTATGGGACACATGGGGAACAGATACATACTGTAACTCCCAACTCTACCTGATTACGGGGAACCATAACACACTACTATAGTTGCCAACTGTCTCTGATTACGGGGTACAGGGGGAACAGACATACTGTAACTCCAACTGTCTCTGATTACGGGGGACAGGGGGAACAGACATACTGTAACTCCAACTGTCTCTGATTACGGGGGACAGGGGGAACAGACATACTGTAACTCCAACTGTCTCTGATTACGGGGATGGGGGAAAAGACACATACTGTAGCTCTCATCTGTCCCTGATTATGGGAGACAGGGGAAACAGACATATATTGTAGCTCCCAACTGTCCCTGATTAAGGGGGGCAAGGGAACATACGGATACTGTAGTGTGATGATCCACCTGGCGGTACCTCTGGCAACCCACCGGACAGGATTCCCCAGAGCGCGGAGTCTGCTTGTTCACCAGGGCCCCTGATGGTGGGGATGGACTTGGAGCAGACCAGGACCAGGTCGCGGCCTCTGAGTACACCCACCTGTGGTAGAGGGATCCGCCGGAGATATCTACAAGATGAGAGCCTGAGGTGAAGAGGCAGAAGGGCCCGAGCAGGATGGACGGATGGAGGGATGGATGGATTCGTGGTCAGACAGGCCGGGTCGGTTACCGTGGGAGCAGCGCGGTACAAGGCGGCAGGCAGAGGATAGTCGGGTCACACGCAGGGTCAGTACCAGAAGATCAGATCCAATAGGGGGCATCCAAGGGAGAGGTCAGGCAAGTCAGGGGTCAGAGCAGGAGAATACAGCACAGTCAGGGGCAATCCGGGTCAGCAACGATCAAATATAAACGAATACAGAAGCAGGGAACACAGGATAGACCAAACGGCAACCAGTGTCAGCGCAGGGCAGATTTAAATACTGCCCCCCACGCTGTCATTGGTGCCAGGCGCTCACCCGCGGCCCCCAGTGCGCATGCGCGAGGTCGTCTCTGCCGCGGTCGGCCAGGACCTAGCGCCCGTAGCCCAGCGTGAGCTGGCAAACTGCGCATGCGCCGGACCGAACGCCGCAGCGGACCCTGACAGTAGTTTTCAATAGTCCCTGATTACAGGTGACAGGGGAAACAGAAACAAAGGGTGAGATTTACTAAGACTGAATCACTCAGAAGCTGATTGGCTACCGTGCACAGCTGCCCCAGATTCTAACATCAGTTTGTTCAGTTAAGCTTTGACGATAAAACCTAGAAACTGATTGGTTCCTATGCAAAGCTGCACCACATTATGCTCAAACTGTTGCTCCCAACTGTCCCTGATAATGTGGGACTGGGGAACAAATGCATACTGTAGCTCCCAACTGTCCCTGATTATGGGGATGTGGGAACAGACAAACACTATAGCTCCCAGCTGTCCTTGATTATGGGAGACAAGGGGAACAGACATGTAGCACCACCCCAGAAGTAGCCACTGAAATATTTTGGTCCTCCACTTTTTACCTGGCCCTAGATGGAGCCTCACTCCTGCTGACACCACCCAAATACCTTTTTTCTGGGGCCTCACAGCAGTCACACAAGGAAGATACACACCAGCTGTGGTAAAATTAACAGGTTGTATTGATATAACTATAACTATATAATATAACCTCCTCGGCGGTCTGATTATTTCTGATTTTTTTGTGCTGAAAGCTGTACCATTTTATTGCATGGAAATATGTAGTTTTTTTATTGTAGGCTGTAATTTTTAGTAATAACTCACTGAAATCTGTCCGAACAAGAGTCTAGTAAACATCCTGGGTATGATAAAATTTGAAACACGAAATCATAAATTATAATTTAATAAATAATCATAAAAAATAATAATATAATAATAATAGATTTAATTCAATAATATAATCAAACCAAAAACACTGAAATTTGAAATACAGAGGCAAATTCGCACATCGCTGAGCAAAGTCGCAAAATCATTTTCAGTGTCTGATGACGAATTTCCCCCACGAATCATTATCACTCAATTCTGCAAGTGGTTCTGATTTACTATCGCTGTTCTCTAGTTGGTCTAAAACCACTTTTGACGTAAAGGGATGCTTTTTGGACGCCATGGACTTTTTTCTAAGTTTCCAGGCAGAAAGAACAGTCAAAATGCAGGCAGGGCGCAGGACAAAGCAGTAGGGACAAAATGTATGTGAAATGGTTTGATACAGGAATGTTTTACTATGTAATAGTCATTTTTTAAAAAAATTACATTTTTTAAAAATTTCAAATTTGCCGCCGGTTTCGGCGCCCGTACGTCTGACATCACAGGGACCGGAACATGGAAGCCAGATGCCGACATCAGCCGGAGGAGATGGCCGGGGACGCTGCAGGGGACACATCGTGGGAGCGAAGGACAAGGTAAGTGCTGCAGGGACTCCCAGAGCAACGCCGCATGGTAAGCCCGAGTGTAGCTCGGGGTTACCGCTTTTGGTACTGACATTTTACCCCGAGCTACACTCGGGAATACCGCCAGGGAGGTTAAAGATTAAAAGCTGCACACAATGAAACAACACAATAACAATACAGTGCAGTTAGCTCACGCCCAAGAGTGTTACAATATCTCCCTAACTGGGAGATTACATCCCAAGTGAATTCAAGAGGCTAACAAAAGAACAACAGGCTAGCTCACTTGAGGGCTGTCAGTCAGGGGAGTCTAGGCTTAGGCTTGAAAGTCTGTTAAATCTCCGGCACACCAGTGCTGTTATCAGACAGACCCTTAGGGGTTTATTTACTAAAGCTGGAGAGTCCAAAATCAGACTCCCTTCTGCATAGAAACCAATCAGCTTCCAGGTTTCATTGCCAAAGCTTCATTGAACAAGCTGAGGTTAGAAGCTGATTGGTTTCTATGCAGAAGGGAGTCTGATTTTGGACTCTCCAGCTTTAGTAAATAAACCCCTAAGGGTCTAAATAACTCTATGATATAGACTTCTTAGATGGGGCCCTTCACGTTGGTGCGCAAAGCAAGGTAATGTTACTTCCGGTGGTGAAGTCAATCGAGACAGTTCACTTTAACTTCCCTAGCGGTCTGATTATGTCCATATTTCTGTGCTCAAAGTGGTACCTTTTTTGCATGGAAATATGTATTTTTTTTATTGTAGACCTGTAATTTTTAGGAATAACTCACTGAAATCTGTCCGAACAAGAGTCTAGTACACATCCCGGGTATGATAAAATTTGAAACATGAAATCATAAATTATAATTTAATAAAGAATCATAAAAATAATAATATAATATTAATAAATTTAATTCAATAATATAATCAAACCAAAAACACTGAAATTTGAAATATAGCGCCAAGTTCGCACATCACTGAGCAAAGTCGCAAAATAGTTTTCAGTGTCTGCTGACAAATTTTTCGACGAATCATTATCACTCAATTCTGCAAGTGGTTCTGATTTACTAATCGCTGTTCTCTAGCTGGTCTAAAACCGATTTTGACCTAAAGGGACGCTTTTTGGATGCCATGGACATTTCTCAGTTTCCAGGCAGAAAGAACAGTAAAAATGCAGGCAGGGGACAGGACAAAGCACTCGGGACAAAATGTATGTGAAATGGTTTGATACAGTAATGTTTTACTACTATGTGATTTTAGTGTATTTACTGAATATCACTTTTTGTCATTTTCAAATTTCCCGCCAGTAACATCCCCGTACGTCCCAACGTCGCAGGGGACGGAACCCAGAAGACAGATGCCGACATCGGCCGGAGGACATTACAGGGGACACTGCAGGAGGGACATCACGGGAGTGAAGGACAAGGTAAGTGAAGAACAGATGCCGGAGCAGCGCCACATGGTAAGCCCGAGTGTAGCTCGGGGTTACCGCTTGTGGTACTGAAACTTTACCCCGAGCTACACTCAGGAATACCGCCAGGGAGGTTAAGAGATTACGTATTTGGGACTTTAAGAGGTGAAGCTATGGGGGGTAGATTACTTTAGGAGGCAATAGGTAAGTTCCATAAAGAGAAGTAGGACTTTTTTTTCATTTTGAATAGAGTAAAGGAGGGTTGTAACTAGACTGCGCTAAATAAGTACCTGTAATACATAAATAAATTGCCTAATATTCGATTCTAATAGCCAAAAAAAAGTTTGAGTTAATTATTGAATAGAGTAAATAGCCTAACACTATAGGCTAGGAGCAGGGGCGGACTAACAACTCATGGGGCCCCCGAGCAATAGGGGATCATGGGGCCCCTGTGTCTTCACACCCAAAAAAAAAAAAGCCAATGAAAGGTACCAGGAGCATCTCATGGGGCCCCCTACTGACCTTGGGCCCTTGGGCGGTGCCCGAGTGCTCGAATGGTCAGCCCGCCCCTGGCTAGGGAGCATTCAATTATAAAGGGAAATAATATGAGAGAGGCCCCTGGTACTGTGTACAAAGTGTAGCACTGCCCTCTTGAGAGCCACTGGCATTGGGCCAACCCCTTCACTTTCTGGCAACATGCATTTTCCAATTGCATCCAGAAACAAGTAACAGTTCATGGGTTTGTTTTTTGTTTTTGTTTTATTGGGGAATTTTACTTGGATAGGGTAAAACGGTCATGGGATGTCCAATTTGATTGCTGAATAACAATTTGGGGACAACTTCCTTCTCTAGAAAATGCTACAACAATGGCAGAAGAATGGCTGTGGTCCAGCCGGAACCCTGACAGTCTCTTTAGCAAAGTATAGCAACTTGCAGGAGCTCCGAGTCCCCTTGAGTGGAATTTTGCAAAGTCTCAACCTATAGGAGCTCTAAGTCCCCTAAGTGTACAACATACCAGCCCACTCGGTTACAGTATCTGATCCCAGGACAAGGAATTGGGTAGGCTATGAACTGTCTCCTGAAGTCTTGCCAGAACTTGCATCCAGCTTACTTCTCCCTTCTAGGCCCTGGGGGTGTAGGGGTACTCACACTGTCCTTATCCTGCAGTTGTGGATAGAATCGCTTTCAGACCTTTGTAGCTGGGCTGGTTCCTCTCCAAGCTTTGCAGGCTGTCCTTCCCTGGTGGACGGCAGGGCAGTGGAGCTTCCTCTTTCAGCTTTCCTCCATCAGCTTCCAGCCTGGAAGCAAGACCCCCCTTCTTCCCAGGATACACAGCACCAGTCATCATCCATCTTCCACACATCTTCCCTGCTGACCAGGCTCTGTCATATTTATGGGCTGGTCTGCCACACTTTCAGGCCCCTCTGCCTGGGATTGGTCAAACTTCCATAAATATGCAGATCAGCCCTACCTCACCTCTGCCTACTGACTTCTAGAAACCTCTCTAAGTTTCTAGAGCAGGTGGAGGTACCAGAGGAATGACCCGTAGAGCCCTCCAGCCCTGATATGAAGTAACCCTCTGCTTCTAGCAAGCCTCTAACTACTCTCAACAAACTATTCACACCAGAGAGCGCTACAAAAGTATGTGAATATTTTTGTGCAAATGACCAAGCAAATGCATGTTTGGCTAAGCAAACCTCAAGGTGCAGTGGGGAATGAAACATTTAGCAGCAGTATTACTACCTGATTGTTAGGGATCCAGTGACTCAACATGTCAGGTGGGGATTCCTGGCTGGCAGGTGAATTTAAACCTTAGTAAATGAGCAGAAGCTCTGCTGATTTCTATTATCCAATCATGTGCAAGCAAAAATGCTGCTTTTCTATTTTGCTTGCATGTGATTGGGTATTCTTTGCAAAGTGAAGATTTATCTAATGTATTAAGCTTTGGAGCAACTGCAAAGTGCACAGTCTGTTTGCCTTTTGTAAATCAACCCCTATATGTTTAGGAAAGTGCCAACCAAATATACCTGTGGGTAGTAGACTTGAATCCGTATGACCAAATATACAGCAGCTGAACTATTTTTTTTTTTCTTCACTCCAGGAACTCAGGTAGCTTGTAACTCCACAGTCTACTCTTCAAAAAATGTAAATTATATTTCTCCAATTTCTCCCTTTTGAGAAGTTATTTACCAGTTAATAGTTTTAAGCAAACCAAGCAAAATCTGGATGTTTGAAGAACCATTGAAAAAGTCTGCAAACTCCAAACAGCGCCTGAAGCCAATTGAGGTAAGCGGGAACCAAATCTTGTATCTTTTTTCTTTTTTCTGGCCAATTTGCAACCTTTTGGTAAAAAAGGCATGGGTGGCTGTGGGGACAATTACCAACAAAACATTTATTTTTAAATACCATTCATAAAGGAGTGGATCTTTTAATAGGACCTAAGGGCAAAATTAAAAGTACATATGACAAATAATATGCTTGGGGGATGCCATAAAACTACAGATATAGTTGGTGAACCTGTAGAATGTGCTTCTGCGAAAGTGATATTTATGAAAAACAAATTGGGAAAAAAATTACATTTCCCAACCAGCCTTGTTTTGTTTGCAAAAAAAGCCCCCCCCCCCCCCCAAATCCATAACAGACCCTTGTTCTAGAGAGGGGTGTGAAATTATTGTTTTAAAGGAGGCCTCATGTGAACATTCCCTAAAAAGTCATGTCCCAAAATCCATACTGGACTCATTGATAATGCAGGCCATAGACAGGTCGTTTATCGGCCGAATTTTCGTCCGCATGAAAAATCGGCCTATATTCACGCCGTTAGTGGGGCCAGTCTGTCGGCCATTTTTCGTGGATCTTCCCATTTATTTTTATTGGTCGTGCTGGAAAATCCAAAAAACAGCCGTTTTTTTCGTGGACATTGGTGGCAGCATCGGCAACGGGGCCGACCGATTTTTCGTTTATCGGACGAAAATTCGGCAGATAAATGGCCCGTCTATCGCCTGCCTTAGGGTCTGGCATGGTTTGAAGGAAAATAAATGGTGTGAGGTCCCCCCCAAAAGCCATACCAGACCCTTATCCTAGATAGAAGTCAGCTATGGAGTGTTAAAGGGGACCCCACACAAAAACAAACAAAAACAATGTGGGGGTCCCCCCCTCCAAATCTATACCAAAACACTAGTTAGGCATGCATTACCCAACTTCAGCAGGGCACCTTGTCCCAGTGTTAATGTGACCAATGGCCCCATTCCCACATCCCTGACCTGGTGGATGTGGGGATCTACAGGAAAGAGTTTAAGATAAGAGGGCCCCAAGATTTCTACATCCCCCGCAAAAATGACTTAGGGGTACATAGCAACCATTGTTTTTTATTCTAAAAATGTTTTTTTAAATAAATACATCCACATCATGACAATTAAAAAAAAAAAACAGCCAATGGTGAAAATTCATTGGCATCACATCATCCAGCAATATAGTTCTATTGTCATTGATAATGAATGGTGCCCTGACAACACGCATTCACAAACACAATGACTTGGGCTTGATGTTCACGCTCCCAACAGACTCTCGCCACAAATGACAGCTCTTGGATTGGCAGCTGAATGTCAGCAAACCAGCAGGTGATGCTGGCTGACATCATTGACCAAATATGGTAATGAATATATTAGGTCTATGACCTCAACCGGGATACTCGCTGGCTTGTTTACTATGGGCAAGAAGCTCATGGGCGGGCTTGGGAGTCATTCATTTAGTGGTTTCATGGTACCACCACTAATTGAATTACTTCAGGATGAAACAGCTTGTAAGCATTTACTTTGTACATTTGGCAAATCTTGAACACCTAGAGTTTGAGCCAAACTCTTCATCAACCCAAAGAATGAATGAAAATAACAACAATTTACATTTGATTGTTACACATGCAGGCTGTTCTTCCTGGGTAGTAGTAGTACTGCACAGAGGTGATATCCTACTGCCTCAGTGCAACTCTGCCAGTCTGGTCCAACTAACTGAAAAGTACAGAATGCATGTTAAAAATGTGGATGTTGATTCTTGAAGCCTCTAATGAAAATGGCATGCCGGCAATTTTCGTTTCGATTCACTTCGCA